CAAAAAAAAAACCCCTGTGTGCTGTTGTTCTAGGTAAAATGCTCTATGGCAAGGGCATCTGTTAGAGTTCCATATGGTGTTAGTCTAATGCCTACCACTCAAGATACATTTTAGACATTTTTTATTTCTTGACAATGTATCCACAGATAAGATGCTAACCATTTTTCTGTTAAAGCGGAATACTGAAAGGCTCACAGAGCTACGGTTAAAACCTATACTCATCATTAAAACACTGCAGAAAGCAGGAGTATTTTATGTAGTAAAATGCAGAAGTGTTACACCTGACCAAATATGGCACACAAATGATGTTGCCAAGAACGTTTTGAGGAAATGCTGCTTAGCTGTTTTCATCTAGAGTTATTGGTATCAGGTACTGGTTTTTCATCTTTCCTAAGAAATTCTGTTATCTGTGTCAATACTGTAATATATGCCATAAAATCAGTAGGACACTTATTCAGTCTTTGGCTTTATCATATCCAGCTACTTTATCTAACTTACTTAAATAGACTACAGTAGCTTCCCCAAGAAAATAGGAGCATGGTAAGTTTTCTTTTTTTGTGGGGGAGGGAATATTATTTTCGCAGGAAAGAAGCTTGTGCTTCATTGTCTGAAACTGCTGGTAAGGAGTTCTCAACATTAAAATCAATGGATTGAACAGGGTCTGTGTTAACTTGAGCAGTAGTTTCTGCCCAAAGATCTTCAGTGTTGTTGACAAGATGGTCTAACTTGAAAGGTCTTTGAGGGTAAGGAACTGTAAATCTAGTGACCATCATATAGCCTTAAACTGTAGGCAAGCCTTGCTGCCTTTCATTCCCATTTTTCTTTGTGCTGCCCAGATTATCAGAATAGTGGTATCACTTCAGCTTTGAACACATTCATGGATGCTTTGTAACAGGTTATTTCCTGTTGCTACTGAAAGTCCTTCTTGCCTGTTGGTTTTCAAGGTTAAATAAGAATGCAAATGTCATGAAAAGTTTTGTTAAGACTTTCCTCAAAAGGTTGTTTTAATTGCTATATATTTCTCAGCCTAGAATTTCCATCATTTAACACAGTATAGTTCAGTTTTCAGTTCTACTCTTTTTTTGCTAAGGTGAGGTAGAACCAGCTGAGTGCATTACATTACATGTTATGCTGATTTTTGTCCTATGATTAAAATGGCAGTGGCCCTCTTACAAGGTCAATCATGCATGAGCGTTTCTGAAGAACAGAAGATAGGACATGTGATGCTGGAATACCCAAGCAGAGACTTTTACAGTATTCTGTGGTGGGCAAGGTTCAGGTTCAGTGTTTCTCAAACAGTAAAGTACTTCGTGTCTTTTATCTATGCATAAAAAGAGGAGCAACACAGTTGTATCTTTGGCATCCGGTTTTGCAGGTCAAAACACTTAAGAAGTAAGCAGTACTGTTTATGTGTAAATTCACCTGAGAATTTCTTCAAGCTTCTACTGCAGACTTGTTATGCTGTTCCCAAAGGTATTGCGCAGAGCATTGCAACTTGGTTAGCCAAATACTTCTACTTTCAGGTATTTTTGTTTCTGGACAGCACTGGGTTGTTTCATACTGAAAGAAATTCTGTGGGGAGCTTCTGAAGACAAATTATGGTGATAAAATATTAAAGAGATTATTTTTGATAGCTATTGTGCTGCAAACTGGGATGCAAGTTGGAGTATTTAGTTGTTTGGAAATGCCTGGTCCAGTGCTTAAGAAATTGAAATAGCAAACTAACTTCAATTTCCATTTTGTATTTCCTGTCCGTCATTTGTGTAGGTGAATGAATGCAGTATAGATCATTAAATAATGTAGGTTTAATTTTGCTCAGGTAGATCTTTCAAACATTCTGGCCTACTGGGATGTTTTCGCCAGCATATAGAAAAGCAGGAAACACCTCAGTTCTAGGCTCTGAAAAATCACAGAACTTTATAAAGTTATAAAAAAAGTATAGAAAGCTTACTAAATAGCAATGGATACTGTAAAAAAAAACCCCAAACCCAACCCAAAAAAACTAACAAAAAAACCCTCCCCAAGAACCAAAAAAACAAACCCCAAAATCAAAACCAGATAAGTATCAGGCAGTTTGAGGCAAGGATTAAAAACAGAATAAGTATCAGGCAGTTTGAGGCAAGGATTTTAGCTGTATTTCATCCAGAAGGGTCTGTCCTTCATTCTCTCCCCAAGTGCACTCCTTTTTCCTAACATATTCTCATTTCCCTCATTGGCAGCCTATTGCAGTATACTTTGGCTCTGTACCAGTTGTACTGGGTTACGCATTACATGTTGTATTGCACACTGTTATTTGATGAGTATAAATACATAATTATCAAACTAACAAATTTATATGTTTTTATTATTGATATTTTCCGGAATATCTCGGTGTTTTCTCAAGACGCCAAAAATTTCTGTTATTGATTAACTAATAGCATCAAATTCTGGTATCCCAGATTGGCTGATTTGAATTCACTTTGACAGTTCAATCGCCAAAATAATTTTAATGTCAGTACTGGGCTCAGTCTAAAGGATCTCTTTCAGTTTTTGACAGCAGATAGTCAGGGAACAAATGGAAAAGCTTATGCAAGGTAGCTGAGTGAAATACCATAAGGCTAGCCTTCTGGTGAGATATTTCTGACAAAATATACTTTATAGAATATGTCTTTTTTTAAAAAACACCACTACCAAAGAAAAACCCCAAAGCCAAAACTTACTCACCTAACAGTCTGATTAATAGTGTTTATAAATACTGTTATGGTCACACTTATTAGTGAATTCTACTCTTCCTAAAATTTTTGTAAAAATGAGGTGTTACTTTTTGAAGATACCAGATTATATTCAGATACAGATTGTACTTTCAGAAAATCTGTTGGAACTTCATGTATTTCTGTGTCAGTAATGGGTTTTTGATCACTTCAGCAGAATATTCCTGTTAGTGACTGTGCAAAACCAAGAAAATTCCAAATTTTTTAACTCTTGCCTATTATTTAAAAAAATGGTGATGGCTTTTCAGTTTTGTTTGAGCCTTGAAAAAGCCTCTGTGATCTCTGAAAGCATTTAATTATGACTAGATAGCATCTGAGACCATACATACTGAAGGTCTATAATTAAGTTTTGGGTTTTGGTCTTCAGGAAAAATTCACTCTATTCTGAAATAAAGGATAATGTACTTAATGTTTGTTCTTAAGGCAAAGCAAGCAAGCACTGTATTTCTTCTTTGAATGAATATTTTAGTACCCTTAAAAGGCTCAGAAGAAATGCCTAAGCAGAGAATGTTATTCATCATTAGCGTGTTATTTTTTCTGACTGATCTTTTTCTCAGGTATTTGCTCCAAGACATAACAGCTATCCATTTGCTCTGTGACTTCTGTTCTTCAAATGCATGTGATAAATTTAGCATGTGAAAGGCAGTAGAGGGGAGTTAGTAGCACCTGGCTTTGTTTACAGTGCAGTATTTTTTCTGGTTTATCCTGGCCATTTGATGTTATACTTCAAATGGAAATTTGCACACAACTGTACAAGAAAAATGGTCTCTTAATTTTTAATGTGTTACAGCTCAATCTAATTATACTGGTTAGAAATTTCCTCTCATACACATTCATGGATAACAATGCAATACTTTGATCTTTTTCATGTTTTGCTTGATTTGCTTAAACAATTGCTAACAATTTAGTAGTCTAAGTCAAAATTAAACTGACGTAATGTGACCAGGTGATTCAACTGACATATTAAATGAAGCTGATAGATGTGTGTTTACAGTTATTTTGTAGACACTAGCAGTTTTACAGTTGTTGTCTTCTCCCTACCTATACAAGCACTATTAAACCACACTTTGGACTTGGTCAATTTTTAAAGGATTTTTTTTGCTACCTTTTCAAATTAGCAGAAGGCAAAAATGTAAAAAAGATTTGAAGATGTCTACAGGGAAATGGCAAGATTCAGTTTTCTTAAATCACACTGATGTTGGAAAACTCAGTCGTGTTCAGTTGGGAAAATCATTTCTGAAGGACTTTCATAACAACTAGAAAAATACAAGCAAGACTAGTAATTCTGTAATGCCATGAAGTAATACGGTGTTCGGTAATGTTCTATAAGTAGCTGATGTGTAGACACAGTAAACAATTTGTCATATATATCAGTCTTGGCTTTATTTCTGTGATTTGATCATTGTTTTTCTTGTGATTCTTAGGTGCTGCAGTAGCTGGAATTTACAGAGTAGCGGGAAAGAATATGGCTCCCTTAGAAGCTCTTGTCTTTGGTGTTGGACAGACAGTACTGACATTAATTATCTCATTTTCAAGAATTCTTGCAACGCTTTGAGACTTACGTAAAAGGGGAAAAAATCAACTAGTTTAAAGAAACCTTTAATCTGAGGAGAAGCTTCCTGAAAGTGGATTCATCAGCTTACAAACTTGAATTCTAGCACAAGAGAAAGGAAGCTATGTGGAACCTGCACTACAAATCTAGAGGTTCAGTCAAATGAACAGACTGTCCTCTAGTGTCTGAACTGTTGTGCTTCTGCACTGCGCCTCATGTGCCTCAGTCATAGGCAAGGTGCAATCCATGCGTGCGAAGTTGAGTTAAAGCACCTTGAATAGCTGCCAGTCAGGTCAACGCTTGGTGATGGGATCATTGTTCTTAACAGTGTTGTAATAAAATAAAGGGACGCTCCTGAAAATTGCTGTATGTGCCAAACTTGGAGTTTAATTCTTAACTGTTGGTTGGGTAAGCTTTGAAAGTGTAACTGTAGAAGACTGCTGTGAACATACATTCTACTTGAATTCAGGTAAAATAGCATGATAACTGACTTTTGTATTAGCAAAATCTCTCTGAACGCTGAATATTCTTATTCAGCATTAAAAACAACTGTTAGGTCTGTTTAGAAGTGTAGATGAATATTGATGGGGTTTAAGAACCACAGCTTTAGCAACCCTGATGTAATTAGCAGTATGTGTAGAATGGCTTATGGTAGTTTTCTGAAGCTCAGCACATCATTTCTTCATGGTTTTAGCTTGTCAGAAATCAGTAGTTTAAGGAGCCTGTATGAGGGTTACTAAGTACAATCTGTTGTGTATGCACAAACAAATCTTAAATTGATGCTTTCCTGGAAATTATTTTGTCTTAAACATACAGATGGTTACCAGCCCTTCTGAAAACCTCGGAAAAGCTACTTGTTGCAAATAAGCTCTCTATATTTATTTAAGCACTGACAGGACTCTTAACCCTGCATGTATTCTTTAAAGAACACACAAACATAACAGACTTTAAAAGAATACGTCTATGAGGAAAATGGAAAAGGATAAAAAAAATTATATACTGGTTTTCTACTGAACAAAAATGTTTAATAAAGCAGTTACTATACTCCAAAAGGTTGGAAGTGGGCCAGCGCTAATGCATTTACTACCTTGTTTCTGAACACTTTGTATCTTTGGAAAGATTAAGATACCTGGAATTTTCAAATACTTAGCTTTCAGTAGAGTTTGTGCTTTTCTAGTTTAAAAGGGACAGTAGTGTTGTGCATGTGTACTGTCTTAAATGTGAATGTTTTGGAGTGAATAGTAGTTTTAAGTCTAATAATTACTAATTATTTATGAAATGCAAAATCTAAAGGGCAAAGTTCTGTGTGAGGAATAAGGAATCTTTTACATCTTTCCTCAGCTGAAAGCTTTTCAGCAGTCAGCTTTTAATGCTGACAGGAAGAGTAAATTGCTCATAGGTTTTGCTGTTAAGATGTCAAAAAGACTTTAGGACTGTTGAAACCATTGGTTCCTACTGCACACATAAAAATATGGTTAAAATATAACTTACAATCCAGCTGTATTGCTCAGTGCTTCAAAATATTATAATGAATTAACCTGTCTGCCTTTATTTTACCCCACAAAGTGTGTGTTTGGTTTTTTTTAAAGTGCTAAGGATGCTAATATTATTTTTTATTCTTTAAAAGTATTTAAGTCTTGTTTGGAAAAATGTACAATTACAGGCTTTGCAGGGAACAAGGTAAAATACAGGTTTATAAACCTTTTCAGTGTTATATTTTGGCTTTTAATTGCTTTAAAATGTGGCTGAATACATATATTCTCATTATTTTGAATGTTTTCAAAAACTTATTTATTTTTCATGGTTTGGGTTTTTTGTCTTGTGGTTTTTTACTTTGTTGATACTTTTTGGCATAACAACCATTGCACTTTAGTAGACAATTAAATTATTACATCTGTAAAAGGCAATTCAAACTTCTCCCCATTGTCTTAAATTATGAGAACTGGTTTCAGGTATTTAAGTCAAATTGAATAATAAAATAATTGAAGATACTTATCCTAATGTGCCTTGTTACATATATTTTTAGGGGAGAGGATTTAAAAAAAACCCCACATATCTTCATTCTTGTTCTATTTTTGCTATTTCTAGTTAATTTGGGTACTTGATATAATGTCTACTCAACAGACATTAAAATGTTTCTGTTTGACAACCTGGAAATGCTTGTCTGGATCAAAACCAACCATTTCATGAAGCACTGTATTCAGTAATTTAGATTGTCTCATGACTTTACCTCACACTTAAACTTCTTCCCAGTTTCCAAATTTCCTTGAGCATCTCGATTCTTATTTATTGTACGAAGCTATTATGCTACCAATGATCAATGGCTTGTTGTCTTTCACTGTTAAACTATAGTAGACTATTGCTAACTTACAAAATGCATATACAAAACTTTTATTGATAAACTTCATTCTTCATTTTAATTGCAGTGCCAATGTAATTGTTGCCATTGTCACTTTCCTCCTTTGACAAGGAGGCATCTTTGCAGATGTTAAGTTACCTTCCTCCAAATAATTTTTATTGCATAGATCACTGTAATCACTTTTAAAACATTGTTAGGTGCTTCGTTGTCTTTGCTTTATATGGCATTATTGTCTGGCAACAATGAATAGGCAGATAATATAATGCCTAAGTGGCTTAACAGAGGCAAGGTGATGTATTTGATAGAAAATTATTTTTTGTGAGGGATATATGAGGACAAATAGTTTGTCTACGAAGTATTCTTTGATCATAGCATGAACTTACTGCGTAATAATTCCCGCAGTGAAAGGAAGTCTGAGTAAGTGGCCTTATGTCTGTGAAACTTTGAAGTTTCATTCCACATCCTTAGGAACAGCATTGTTAAATATAAGGTGCTCTAGTCAAAGTGCAGTGTATGCTTATATATATGTGTGATGGTTTTGGGTGTGTTCTATACCTTACACACACTAGCAATTGAAATAACTTGTCCCAGGAAAAGAAAATTACTTAAGATACGTTTTCTTTCTTCTTCTTTTTTTCCTGTTGGTATTAGGCTACAAAGATATCTTGTGTGTGAATGGCACCGATGGTACTCTGGTTCCCTTTGGACAATACAGTGTTGTGCAGATGTCCACACAGGATCTTTTAGTGCTATCTTCAAATAGCTCTGCCTGTCTCTGCGTTGTATTGCTAGGCACATTCTGTGCACTGTTAATGATTAATTTCTAGTAAAGAACAAATAATACATCAACACAATTTAATATTTGGAGGAGGGGGGAATACTGAATATACTATTTAATGTGAAGAATCTTCTGCTGCTTTGTTAGAAGCTGCTGCTGTTGAAGATTTAAACATTCCACACACTTCCAATTTATCAGTATGATCAAAAAAATTTGTTTTAACTCAAAAACTCCAGCTGTATTGCAGGAAAAAAGAAATCTTCAAAATAATTATTGTCTTTAATTTCATGGGTTATTCTGAATTTATGAAACTAACTTGTGTACCATGACTAGTGATATAATTTGAAGTTTGCTGTTGGCAGTTTTTTAAAGAAACCAATAATTTAACCAGTTTTGAATGTTCAACATGGACCAAAGAGTGTAGTCCTGATTTTGTGTAATGTAGCTTTCTATTTTTGAAGTACACTGTTTTTATTACTCTAACAGAAATAGTATTCCCTCTTCAACATAGTGCACATTGATATTTTGGTTACAATTTCTATTTGAATTGTTGGGGTGACTTATATAATGTCATTTGAGTGGAAGCTGTAATAGAGTCTAAGCTCTAATAACTGTAAGAACTGATTTAATTATTATTTTCTGTTTTAATTTATGTATTTAATGCACTAAACATATTCCTGCATTAAATCTCAATATTATATCATGAGTATATTAAGCTGCATTGTTTTGCATGTAGCCATTCAACATCACACATGTATAATTCCACATAAGTGATTAATTTTATTCTTCTGACACAACAGTATTCCTAGGTGTAACAAAGTGTGGATGAATCAGTTGGGGCCAAAAAAAAAAAAGTATGTGACTCTAATAAGGTTTAGAAAAGCAATTGTTAACATGAGAATTTTTTAAGTTACACTTCTGTTTCTGGAAATATGCTTTTTCATCATATGTATATTTTGGTTAAGGGGAAAAATGTAATGTGGGGATTGGTTGGTAGGATGACAACTGCAACCTAATCTAATTCCAAGCAATTTGAGATCAAATGAAATACTCAATTTTATCATAAATTATAATGGAGTGCTATATATATATAAATGCTAGAACATAACTTTATTTGAGTGTTACCAGGATTTAACATACAACTGTATCAGCATATTGACAGAATACCTTTTGAATTTTTTTTTTAACCTCTAGGTTGGGAGCAGGTCAAGGTGAAAAGACTGTTTAAATCCTCAGCTGTTGCTTTGGAAGGAATAAGTGTTCTTTGTGTACGGGTGAATTTGACACAGCTGAAAATTTGTATTAGGTTAAAAGTAAAATTTTTTGGTCACACCACTACAACCTTTAAGGTCAGTGGGAAAAGTGTTCTGTACTCTGTTACAGCAATGAAATCTTCAGCTGGGCTGCATTAGTTTGTGTACTTAACTGCACATCCTTTGGTGAAAATGAAATTGTCATAGAAGGTAGACTTTAACTTGAGTACATACCATTTAATAGCTTGTAAGTTAGAAAGGTTGCATCCTGACACCATGCCGTTTCCCACACTTGTACTTAGAGTTATAGTTGAAATTGGTTTCTGCATTAAGTTTAAATATAATCACAAAGATATCTCAAAGTCTCCAAAGGTATGTTATCGTTAGGGTATTCTGCCAGTATAGCAAGTGTAAAAACAATTACACTTTAAAGTAGTGATCTGAAGAGGTGTTTTCTTTCAGGAACACTCATTTTTTTCCACTTCTCATTGTTCATCTTGTTACTGAACTCTTTTGTGAATTGAGGGGAAAAAAACCCTATAAGGCAGAGTAAATACTGAAGAGAGATTTTCAATAAACTAAGTAATACATGATTGATATGAATGGCATTCCT